GGGCACAGTGAGGGTCTCTGGGCACAGTGAGGGTCTCTGGGCAGAGTGAGGGTCTCTGGGCATGGTGAGGGTCTCTGGGCACAGTGAGGGTCTCTGGGCACGGTGAGGGTCTCTGGGCACGGTGAGGGTCTCTGGGCACAGTGAGGGTCTCTGGGTACAGTGAGATTTCTGGGCACGTGAGGGTCTGGGCACAGGGAGGGTCTGTGCAGCAGCTGGCAGGCAGTGACTCCACCAGCATAAGGCCCTCTGCTGTTTGCATGATGCTCAGAGCTGGAGCAAATCCTGGTTTTGGGCAGCTGCCAATCTCCCAACGAACGAACAGGATCCTAAACAGAGCTGGGATATTTGTTCTCTCTCTCCCTGGCACGCAGCACAAGGTSGCATCCCTGGGGGAGCCCCTTCCTTGAGTGCCCTGCACTGGGGATTTTGTGGCTGTTGTCATTTTGGCAGTTGCTACTAAATGCAGGCAATGAAAACCACACTGCCATTGTGCAACTTCAATGAAAACCTGCACTTTGTGCTGAAAGCACAGCCACAGAATCACARAACCTGTACGTGAACACAGAGCTGCTGCCCCAGCCCTCACCCAGGCATGGCCCATTGTAACCCCTCACTCTGTGTCAGGGCAGGGTGCCAACCTGCACACCCACCCCCAGCCCTGCCAGAGAGCCACACCAACCACGCCCCGGGTCCCAGCATTGATGGCAGCACTTTCACCGCTGGGTTGGGTCAGGGTGGCAGCAKCCACGGCATCTGAAGTTTCAGAACTCGGTGTCAGAGCCTGCAGTCTGTCAGGGTGACTTTGCCTTGAAAGCTGGGATGGCAGTAAAGATGAAAAATGGCTTTGCCATTTTCTCCCTGTCTGCCCTCAAACTATTTATGCCCAGCAGGACACAGAGGGCTCACTCCCACACAGGGCTCCTGTTCCTATCCCTACCAGCCACTGGCCAAGGGCTGCCTGAGGCTGTGGCTCCCTCTGAGACTGAGGCACCAAAGGCTGGGAAGAAACAGCCGTTGGGCACAGTGGAGGGCAGCAGGGATTAAAGAAATCTCACAATATCTAACATCTGTAGCTCACTCAGGGAGCCTCTCCCYCACTTTAAGACAGCCAGGAACTCTGGCAAACAGCATCAGTCCTTCTGTGGAGTGCCCAGTAATGCTGCCTCTGCACAAGGACCTGAAACAGTGACAGGATACAGAGGATACACTGAACTGAAGTGTCTGAGAAGCTGAAACCAGGAGGGGTTTAGTAAAAATCTGTAGTTTTCCTGGGATTTGCAAATAAATAAAATCAAAGTAATCTGTTTTTTCCCCAAAGTCCAAAGCTGCCTAATTCATTTCCAAGTGTCCATTTGAACAGGCTTTCTCAGACTTCCTGACCAAAACACTCACCAGTGCTCCATATGAAATTGCAGTTCAAAGAGCTGCTTTTAAAGACTGCTGCTACCAGMTGACAGGAAAGTTGCATCCCAGTTTCTGACCTTCTTCTAATGTCATAAGCATAGAGCAACATGAAAAATTACTATGACAAAGGTGCCAGCTGTGGGTTGAGCCCAGCACTTCACATKCATTTGACACAAATGTAAATCCACAACTAATAAAGTGGGTAAAGAAGACAGGAAATGAGCCAGTTTTGGTTCTCATAACAAAGTTAGCTCTCAGGGAGGCTGTGCTGAGGTTTTTCAACTCAGTTCATGAAATTGGTCCACCAACACCAACAGAGTGGGTTAACTGCAACACCAGAGAGGGCTCCTGTGAGAGAAGAATGGTTGGGACCCTCCTAGAAAACCCTCCATCCTGAAGGAAAGGGCTGGGAAAAGCTGAGAGAAAAGGAGGATCTCTGACTTGTCATGTGCCTCACATCCTGTTTGATARGTGAGGCCCAAGAGAAGGAAAATTGAGAAAGGGGGGCACTAGAATCCAAATCCACTGGGTCAGAAGCCTATAAGAAGGTGGGAGAAAATATGCTGCATGTTGGTATCTCAGGTCYTTCCCTTTGGCTGATACCATGCCTGCAGGTGCCCAGCCAGCCTGCTTTACCCACCAGTCTCAGCTACATGCAGGATCACAGCCATTGAGCCAGAAATCTTTGCCATTCAGAGGATTTATSAAAAGTATTTTGCTTTTGTCCCCCTGAAATTACAACATTCTCCTCTTTTATCTGTCTTAAGTGTCAGGAGAGTGTGATGTTAATGAGATGTACGAAGGCTTTTGGGTAGCTGAGCAGTTTTACAGTCCCACATTGATAAATTAAAGCATTTGTCACTGTTACCACATTAATGTTTCTTCCCAAGATCAAAGACTGGATTTGCTGCATTAAGTGGTACCGTCCTCTGCTACGCATCGCCACACGTTACTTTCCAAGGAAGTGAATTGTSATTCTGGATTTTTACACTCACAGTTTAGTCACACCCTGATTCTCACACCTACTAATTCCCATCTCCACATGCATCATGCAAGCCACTTTTTTTACTGTCGATTTTCTCCTGGCTACCTGTGTGAGAAGTCTGACTATCTTGTTTCTGGAGAATCACATTCTTCTGGCTCTGAAAGGCTGCTTCTGCAGTAAAGAATACAGACAATTTYCTTCCTTCTGGAACCCTGGATTCAGTCATGTTAATTTACATTTATATAGCACCTTTCATCCCWGAGGATCTCAATGCACTTTACAAATTCCCTCTCTGTACACAGAGGCTGTACAAATAGACAGGCTACATAAACAGACACAGCAGTCCCACTGCCAGCCTCTGAAACYCATCCCTCTGCCTGTATTCCCAGCACACTCATGGCAATCACCCTGCAGCACATCTCCATCAAGGAGGAAAACACAGCAGCGTGATGTAGAGGCACATCGGGGAAGCAYGAGGAGTCTGGGCAAGCAATGGAATGGCTCTGCAGCCTGGCTGAGTGACATCTCCTTGGCACTCTGCTACACAGGTTAACATGAGGCAAAAGCTGATTTGTGGGGAGTTACATCTCAGAGCCTCAGAGCTGCTGTCAGCACCTGCAGAAGACCAGGTTTGCTGCTCCCTCCCACCGACGAATAACTCTAAAGTAGTTTAATTTTAAAATGGAAAGCATCTGCTTACTTTGCAATGAGAATATAAGGGGAAATAACCCCCCTCCCCAAAAGCAGCAGATGACTGGCTCCTGCCAAGGTGAGGATGGAGAAGCCCAGCATACCTGAGACACCTTTTTGACCACGTCGCTGCCCACGAGGAAGCCCTGCGCGTAGGAACGTGCTGCGATGAAGGCTCGGGTCACCTTCACCTTSAGGTCCCTGGGCACCTCCCCGAAGGGTTTGTGCTGCTCGGCGTGTTTCACCATGCAGTCCAGGTACTCGTCCGTGATGTGGTACTGGGGGTTCAGCAGCTTGAAGAGCCGCTCCAGCAGGCGTGTCCAGAACTCATTGAGCGCCTCTTCCAAGTTGATGTTGGAGCTCCGGTAGTAGCGGCGCAGCTCGCTGTACAAGTCCTTGAAGACCTTTGCGTTCTGAGTGTACAATTCTCCGTACATGCTTGGAAAAGCATCATAAAGGGCCTTTTCTGACTTGTTCAACAAATCCTGGAAATAACCTGGAAGACAAGAAAAAGGAGAGGTGATGTATCAGCTGGACAATCTGGAATCCAACAGGCCGTGTCATTTAGCAGCACAACTGAATACCTTGAGTAAAGAGAAGGGCCCTAACAGAGCTTTTCCTCCAACCAACATTACCCACACTCTCAGAGCTGAGCCTTAGCCATGGAGATAGGAGGAGGAAATCTCCCATACTGGAGAACCCTGGTGTGAGCCTCTCAAACTCTTCTGGCAGCCCCACTGGAAGCAAAGCTGGGTCTCTTCTTTGGATCCACAAGGTGCCACAGTGTTACCCGTAAGTTTTCTTTACAACTAGCCTTGCTCACACAAACCACAAAGTGCCACATGTTATTTCCAAACCCTGGTGAGAGGAAGCCGGGCTGCCACCAGGGTGCCMACCCTTTCCAGGGACATCCCATCAGCCCTGGCCRTGGCAGCCAGGCTGGCTCTGAGGCACAGCCTGTAAGGCAGGAGCCAGAGCCCAGTCCCAGTGCCAGGAACAGGCACATCTTCCTGGGTATTCCAAGACAGGGCTGTACCCAAGTGTTTTTTAACTGAGGCCAACATTATTTGGGATCTGGGGCTTTCATCCCATTTGCTCAATTGGGTGTGCATCCTGCTTTTGTTTCAGCATAAATAACTGAGTGGTTTGGTGGTCATAGATGTGACGGAAATGTGACTCTCTTGCTACATAAAACAAGGTAAAAATGACAGATTTGACTCTTCTTTTACGAACATCTTTAGGTATTTCCAATCCCTCAATTGTCACTACTTTCAGGCTGAGACTGCGCAGTGGGGAACTCATAGCAGGATTGGCYTGATTCAATTAATAGATTTACATAAGCAACTTCAATCATCATTGAAGTCAGTGAGAGGAGAAAGAATTTAAATAAAAATTTTAATTTCAATTACATTTGTGATTTTAGGGCCTTTTTGAAGCAAACCTGATTAAACTATTCTTTAAATCTAAATTACTATTATTTTTTTGGTGATGCATGATAAGCCCTAGTTGGAGAGAAACTGTTATTCAATTAAAATCAAACAGCATGTATTTAGGTACATAAATTAACTTCACTGTGCCAGACCCATAAGAAAAGAAAGAGAAGCTTCTGAAAAATGCATATTGCATGTACAAAGCTTTATTAAACAATGTATTTTTTGAGGGAATGGCGCTGACTGCAATTAAAGACCTCTAACACTGCAGAACTAGTAAAGCTCAGATCCGTAAGTCTTGCTTATATTCACAGACTGAGAAGGGCCATACAAGCTTTTCCACATTAGTAATCTGTCATTGGTTTCCCAGAGTTGAATAAAGCTGAAATTTAACAAGTGAATCGACCAAGTGAAAAGAACCCTCTGCATCTGCACTGCAGGCTGCTAATACATAAAATTCTTGGACTATTTTAACAAAGCAATCCAGAGCATTAATAATCTGGCCTTCTCCAGCCACAAGCGTGCTGCTTAAGAGATTAGAATTTGATCTAAGAGACTTTTGCTTTTAAAAGATTGTGAGCAAACACAATCTGTCTTAGCAGAAGTCTGGTTCAATTACTTATGCAGAAAGTAAAAATCTGTTATCTGGAATGTTGAGTAACAACTGGTTTTCAAATGTACTTTAGGAAGAAATTGAGATCTGGGCAGTCCTGAGCTCCAGCCCACTGTGGCACTGCTATGAGGTCACCTGCCCGGCTGCAGCACGGGCACCCTCCCTGCAGAGTCTCCCCAGGGGCTCACAAACCAGGCAGGTGACTGACAGGCAGAAAGTTTTCCGGGTGGGACACTTTTTGGGACCTGACTAATTGGCAGCGACTTTATTTCCCTGCTGCCGCAGCCTTTCTGCCTATGCAACCAASAGAAACAGCACTCACCTCCAACAGACACAAAAGACAAAGTTTCTCTGATGCTGATGAGCTGTCTAAAAGCTCTTCTCCACATTAATGCATCACTCYAAACACTGCTGGTTGCCCATTCACGAGTTAATTAAACTGAGCTCAAACTCTCTTTCTTGTACAATCAGTGTTCTTTGCTGTGTGACATGAGACACGAACTGAATTTGCTCAGCAATCCAGGTACGACATGCAGCTTTTCACTCATCATCACAAGGAAGAAAACACCAACAAACACAGCCCAATTTGTCAATTCAAGGCAAAATTACTTTGTTTTGCTACAAGAGAAAAAAGATGTGTATCTCCCTGTCAAAAAATTGGAAAATGCTCTCAAAAAGTCCAAGCTAATTAAGGGCTGATGAACTGTTACTTGTCACCCAAGTGAGGGAACACCGATTACAGCCAACTCATTTGTGGCTGGTTCTCACAAAGTTCTTCTACATTTCACACTCTGAGGGAAAAAAATCTACACTAGCCAGGGAAAACTAATTAGCAATTAAATCTACACGTGTTTGTGATGAATGGCTGACCTGGCAGGGAATTTATATGTCCATTCAGCAGCATTAGAAGGCACTATGAAGTGAGGTTTGTCAAGAGGGATGTCAACTTCCCTGTTCCTCAGTACAGTGTCAGCTGATACCTTCAAGGAACACTGCACCTTCTCCTCAACAYTCCCTGCCTGCTAATGTCCAACCTTTGAATGTGTTCAGACACATGTCATAGGTTAAGGATATGCAGGGATTTGGGATATGACAGCTTGCTGAAGCACAGTTCAGGCTCCTGCCATTCTAACTTGATTCCAAGTAGAAGGAATTATTTATTTGAGGCGAGTACCCCATTATCTGCAGTCATGGTGGGTAGGGGACCTTCAGGTAATGGGGTGCTCCAAGTCTCTAATAATGCAGCTGCCCCACTGTTCCTATCAGAAGTTACCACTGACGGGGCCAGCAGGTCCATTTGGATATCTCAGCTCCCACTTGGTCACTGCTGRGTCTGCCCTGGCTCTCAGAGCGCTTAGCTCAGGCAGGGCATGAGCTCTGGAGGCAGCTTCACCCACGCGGGACCCTCAGCTCTGCTGACAACACATTTTCCATGSCAGCAGCAGCAGGCTCAACCATGAACTGCCTTCATGTACTGCAGCACAGGGTTTCATCAGCCTTGTGAACAGCATGGATGGAGGGAAAGGGCTCATGGGGAGCCACTGCTGCAGCCATAAAGCTCTTCTGGCTCCAGGAGGCACCACCGCATTCCCATYCCTGGGGGCACAGGTCACCTTCCCTCTGGAAGGATACATTTGCTTCCACGCTGAGTCACAACAAAGCAGCTACAGATTCCGTGGACCTGTGTTSAAAAACCACGGTTGCTCTTGGCTTCTGCGAGCCCCAGGAATTTGACAGCACTAGCCAGAGACACCTCCCTGTGTCACCTGCTAAATCCATGACTGGGCTTTCCCTCTTTCAAAAAATTCCCTTCAGGACCAAGAGAACAGGTGAGTTCTTCACCACTGCCAGCTGAGGGRCACGGCACTGCCAAGCCCAGCAGGTGATTTTCTAACAGCAGAACTTCACACAAATCAAACTCTATTTTCCCTGGGCCAATGCATGGTGCAGCTCCTCACCCAAGGCTGCTCCTACATGAAACATTACCTTCCACACCCTTGCTACAAAGTATTCAAAAGAAAAATAAAGTGAAATGGAAGTCTATTTTATTACCATTATTATTGCTTCTSACTTCTAGGTTCAGAAACAAAGCAACTGGCTTTGCTCAAAGGAAATTTGCCTTGCCTGGCAGAGGCCAGGTCTGAAGAACTCTGCCTTAAATACAAAAATGCCAGGAAGTTATGAGCAAAGAAATGAAAGGTTTTTACAACCAAAACAATTCTGCCACCTTGGCCGTGCTTTCTCTTGCTGCTATAGTGACAAAAATTTCTCAGAGAATTGAGTTTCCAACTAGAATCTATAACCTTTGCATTCAAGAGAGATTGCAAATCCCCACCCATTTCCCTGCTTCACAGCTTCCCAGTGTTCGCAGCTCATATTTTCACAGTTTCCACATTTTCACAACTCTGGATTCAAATTGGGAAGCTGAGAACAGCGTGCAAGGAACCGGCAGTTTCTCTCTGAAGATACAAAGTTTTGAGTTTCTCCTTCCTGAACCCCCCAGCACTGAATACTTTATCCAAGATCTTTGCTACCATTTGATTACTCAACATATGGAACACACTGGGGTTTCTTCAARTAATACAATGATGGAATGGGAATGGATGGGAGGGAATGAGATCACTAAACAAAGAACACCCAAATGCTCTTTAGGCATGCAGCAGAGCTGGCTTTCTTCAAACTACATCAAATTTGAGAGGCATGCTAGAGGAAATATGAGAAATTGAGGAGACTGAATTACTTTCAATCTGAATATTATTAAAACCTGAAGCAGAAAGCTGCAGCACAAAATGTCTTACACACAATTGGAAAGAGTAGTACCAGACTGCARGAACACCAATAGTGATCTTGTGAAAATGCTGGAAAATTTTTGCAGCAATGGGTGAAATTAAAGTCCTCCCAATGGTCAGACAGCTTTGCCTGGTGAGCTTGGTTTGTGGTCCAAGTGCCGTGCCATGAACTGCCAGGACAGCTGGAGGTGGGGGTAACAATGTCAGGGGGAAGGAGTATCAGATAATGTATTGTAATTTCTCAACTTTAAGCAAGCACACAAGCGTGTGGCAGAAYCCACACAGGGCCAGAGCCATGGAGCATCTCAGCAGCTCCGGAGGAAGGCCAGGGAAATATGCTGGCCATGAACAAACTGCTGTGTTTCAAGGCTGGACTGAGAACAGGAGAGGAAATGYAGCTGGTTCTGTGATGTGCTGAACCCCAGTCACAGCAGGGAAGGAAATAGGATGGAGATGTCTGCTAGAGCAGAGCTCCTGCTCAGTGCTGCTGGTCTGAGAAGCAGTCTTTTCCTGGGCTAAGTTCCCATTAATACCCCACTGCAGTTCCCAACACCGATTTGCTTCTCCAGTTGGCTCTAATGCCGTTCTTGCAGTCRAACTACGATTAGAAGGGAATAATTCAGCAACAGATTTAAGCCATTAAAATCCCAATCTAATGCATTCA